CAGTGGGTTTCCTTGGAAATTTGAACCTTCCAGAGTCACAGTCCAATGCTCAAAATATGTTATGCAGTCTCTTAATAGAGGGCGTCTTTAACCATGGACTAGGTAATCCTTGCCAGTTTTTCTATTCCCCTTTTTAACGTCTGCCTACTCTATATTCTCACAACTAAATTTGACAAATCCGCACATGCACAGGACCAGAACCATGTGCGCTTCTTTGTATGCATTATATCTATTCTCATGATGCGGCATTAATCCCTAGAACCAGGATTACATACAAGTGTTTCTCAACCTGGGGGTCGGGACCCCTGGGGGGAGTTTGTGAGGGAGGTTTCAGAGGGGTCACCAAAGGCCATCAAAAAACACAAATTTCTGATGGTCTTCAGGATTCTTTTGGTAGAGAAGACTGAAGATCTCTCCGCCTGTCCTTCTCTTCATTTTTGGTGTTGGTGAACTACAACTCCCAGAATTCAAAAACAGCCCCCCCCCCCCGGCCCCACCAGTATTCAGTGTTGGCCATGTAGGTAGTGTGCCAAGAGTGCTCTTTGATTATAAGTGAACTACATCCCAGCAACTACAACTCATCCAGGTGGTTTTGACAGTAGTTGCACATTAATTTGTCTTGTTTGAAGCCCTTCAGAGCTAATGGGTTTGGTCCTACTGGAACCTTTTATTCATTTTTGCTGAAAACTTATTTTTAACCCAATTGCCCTCAACACAGTACAAAACCCAAGGCCCCGTTGAATGTAGCCAGGGCAGTTAAAAGTGGAATCACAGTTCTATAAATATGTAGTGTTTAAGAGCTCCCCTCTCCAGTCAATTTTTTATTTAAAAGTATTTATACTGTTTTTTCAGGTCCTTGATCCTCAGTATGGCATGTACGTCTGGCCCTGTGCGGTGGTTTTGGCTCAGTATATCTGGTTTCATAGAAGACTAGTCTGCGGCAAGAATGTTTTGGAGGTAAATTTCAATACCTTACACAGTTCATATACTTAATGAAAGTAGCAGGCTTGCTGAAAGGTAATTTTTTTTCTTAAAATGTATCTTGGTGAAATGCAGGGCTATGCTACAAACCCCAAGTACATGTAATAACAGGAACGTGAGTTTACAGTGGCCTCTCTGCATGCAATGGTCTTTAGGTCCAGGGACCCCTGTGAATTCCAAAATCTGTGGATGCTTAAATCCTGTTACATACAATGGCAAAAGGACTACAGCAGGGCATGCCTACTTTATCATGGTAGTGCTTGGCACCTAGCAAAATCAAGGTTTGCTTTTGGGTATTTTCCTCTCAAATATTTCTAAGCCACGGTTGGTTGAATGAGTGGATGCAGAACCCGTGGATATGGATGGCCAAATGCATCTTAGAATAGGCTATACTTTTACTAGGAATTATGTGCAATGTTGACTTACAAAGAAAGTGAACAAAGACAGTGCAAAGGTAGGTTTATGGTTGAACATTAAGAAAATAAATATGACGACCACAGATTATTTCCGTAACTTTAAACTAGTGATGCATTGCAATAGCCAAATGCTTTCCATACCATGGCTCAGTCATTAATCAGAATCACAGAAGGCTAGTATTTGAAGGGCAGGATTTTGTAGTGTCAAGACGTATCATTGAATAGTATAGTTAGTATTGGCCATGTATTTCCAATTTTTATTTCTCATTGTCAAAGTGGACAGTGAAGGTGATTGACAGTAATGCTTACTAAGGGAGAAGAAGGTAGTAGGGAAGGAGGAAGTCCATATCCCACATGATAGATTCAGTCGAGGAAGTCATGACTCTGAGTCTGCATGATCTGAACAGGGCTGTGGATAATAGGTTGACTTGGATGTCTCTCCTACTCATTGTAAGTCAAAGTCAATTTGACTGCAGTTATCAGCATGCTTTTTATTATCATTTTGTAGGTAAAATTAGAAGTTTTGGCTCTTCAGCAATTAAGTGTTTATTCTAGGATGTTTCAGACCCTTAAGATTCATTCCAGCTCTGCGAAGAATGTCGGTGGAAATAATCATAGTTTGCATGTGTCCACCATTTAAGAATATGGGATATTTTAAATTTTGACTGCCATACTAGATACATGCAAGAATGTGAACATGCACCAGCAGCTCAAGGCAAAACATAAGCTATATACCATTTGCTGTGTCCCTTGATCATGCAGATGAAGCACATCAATTTTAAAAAATTGAAAATATAACTGGATTGCATAAAGGAACACAGGCTTCTAGTAATGGGTCATTAATACATAGTTACATTAAGCAATCATTCTAGGAGAAAAAAATCAACCAAATTTGAAAGGCATCATTATCTGTTAAGACGTGTTATCATTAGAAATGGTGAATTACAAACCAATATTTATCATCCAGCTTGGTGCAGGTGTGAGTCTTCCTGGAATCGTAGCAGCGAAATGTGGAGCAAAAACGATATTGTCAGATAATGCAGAATTCCCTGAGTGTTTGGACAATTGTCGAAGAAGCTGCCAGATGAATAACCTTGCAAGCGTAGCTGTCACAGGAATCACCTGGGGTCATGTATCACCAAGCTTGTTGGCTTTATCTCCAGTGGACATTATTGTGGCATCCGACGTATTTTTTGAACCAGAAGGTAAGTTGTTTGTTGTTTTAGGACTATGATTCATATTGATGTATGTACAAATGTTCCTGTTGCGTTTTTGAAAAAGCTTTTAACATAATTTACACCCCATGGCCTCCCCGCCCCCCTTGTCTAGCTGGAAGTTTTTTTTAAAGCAACATCAGATTGGGAAAATGGTGGAGCTAGAGAAACGTAGTGTCTTGTTGCAGCAGTCTGTGTCCAGTAAACAATGCAATAAACGCATGAGCTGACAAAGCAATTTTAAGTTCAAGCTGATCCTACTGTGGCTACCTGCAACAGGTAAAGGAAGCAGCGGGCTCCTTCAAGATCCATTACCTTTCCAAGTGCGACTGGTGGGGACGAGAGACCTTCTCAGTGGTGGCTCCTCTGTTGTGGAACTCCCTCCCCAATGAAATCAGGTCTGCCCCCTCCCTCCTGGCCTTTTGTAAAAAAAGCCTTAAAATCTGGCTGTAGGATCAAGCATTTGAGCAGTACATGTAGCAATTGGGAAGAAAGTGATTTTGTGTGACCATCAATGGACTGGCCTTGGACTATGATTCTGAACTGGTGAACTCTTTTAAATTGAATGTTTATAACTGTTTTTATTTTCTATTTCAATTGCAATTTTCTATTTTAATGTATTAGTTTGGCATCTAATGGTTACCTGTTGTAAAGCCACCCTGAGTCCCCCTCCGAGGGCGAGAAGGACGGGGTACAAATGTGAGAAATAAATAAGCAGAACAGTGGGGAGAAAGGCAACAAAACAGAATTCCGGTGAAATAAATCATTATTAACATTGCATGTTAATCTAAAAAGATCAGAAACTATATTCCTTGGGAACATCTACTTGCAAGTATTTGACTATGCCACTTAAAATTTTTCCTTAACGTATCACTGGTTTGCTTCTCTCTTTTTGGACTGCAGCTGCAACAATCCATCACTGCTTGTGCTTAGTAGATTTATGGCACATGACCCTTCAGTGGAAGAATTGCCATCCGCCTAATATCTTGTTTTGCTGGAAACTGAACAAAATTCTTTATGTATTTAAAACATGTACGGGTGGTCAATGTTCCTTTGTCCTATTCAAAGGATGTTTATTGAATCCTCTATGGCATGTAGATACCAATATCATTTTTCCTTTCCAGAAATGCAGCTGCAAGCCTTTACTCTCAGGGAACATTATGTTTTTGTCTCGTGCTTTGAAGTTGGGACCCCGCCATCATGGCATACGTTTTGTTGTTTGATCATGGATAAAAAATACTCTCAGCTAGAGAAGAAATAGAAAGCTTTAAATTATTTTCAGGCTTTACAATTCCTTGGTCCTTTGTGAAACATGCTAAAATGCTTTAATATATTTAATATTAATATAAAAATTATTTTAAAGTTTGTTAGTTCAGTATTTAGATGTTCTTGCACTACAGTATATCATCCCCCCCCCCCCAAAAAAAACCCCCCTATCCTAATTTATTTGTATTCCTATGTACTCCTAGTCCATTTGCATTTCAGACTTCGAAGACATTCTAAGTACAGTGCACTACTTGATGAGGAAGAACCCACACGCTCAGTTCTGGACAACTTACCAAGTCCGAAGGTATGGTTGTGCCAATTTACTCATTTTTGAGCCAAGCTTCAAGCACTTTCAGAGGCCCATGTTATCATCAGGTTTTATGTGATAAAAGAAAAGCTCACCTGAATTTCACATTTATTTGCAAACAGGTTGAATTTCTGAGAGGCCAATCTTAATGCAATCTGACAAGCCAAGGCTTAGCAGTATAAACATTAAAATGTTAACTATTTTTCAGTGCCGACTGGTCTATTGAAGGATTACTCTACAAGTGGGAGATGGAAAACATCTGTGTGCCCTTGCAGTCTTTTGAGGCCAACAAGGAACAACTGGTAGGCTCTTTCCTTCCAGGGACACATACTATTGAAATGATGGTCATCACTCCAAAAAAGAAATTTTGTGAAGCGTCTTGAGGACAGATATACTTCTATTTTTAAAATAAATATTTGGAAATCTAAGCTGGTTGTCAGTGGATTAAACTTTATGATAATATCATCTGTTGAAAATTGTCCTCAGTGGATATTGCCCTAAACATACAAAGTAACAATTATCTCTCATCAGTAACAATTCCTTCACTGAGCAACAGACTACTAGAAGCAAAACTCTGGAAGGCCACCTATTCCTTGGGAACATATTTGAGGCTGGGAGGAGGCATGACATCTCTTTGCTTACTGCTTTATTAATAGACCCGTCTCATCAGAAGTACTGATACAATGGCCACACACATACCTGTATTTGTCTACTATATTTTGCAACCTCTCACAAAATTCTCCTTATATTGGGTATGAATTTTTGCCGATATACAGCATCTTCCCCTACTTTAATACACAAAACGGAATCAAGACATTTGATTTCAAAAAACTGAACACCAAGAAAGTGTTTTATTGAACTACAGACAGTGGTTATAGTACAGAACGTTTTAAGAGATACTCCAAATTGATACTTAAGAGGAATGAATTAACTGCTTTAACATTACATTTTTATATGCAAGTTCACATATGTAGATGGTCTAAATTTACCATTCTGGAAAAATAAGGTGTGTATATCACCAGCTAGATGTGCTCACTGTATGCTCCATTATTTTTATGCAAGGCCCGGGTGACTGGAAGTGCAGTTGTCAGGCAATTATAATTAACGGGACAGCCATTTGTTTCTGCACAAGGCATCGTTACAGGAGCAATCAGGAGAAAACAGGAAACAGCCAAGCACTCTGCACTGCAACACGCCACCTTAACAGCTAACCAGCATTACTCAACTGCTACACAACTGCGCCTAGTGCACAAAAATACATAAGAGAAGAGATTAGAATTTTGTCTTATAAAAACAAATCTTTCAAAATAATCTGTCAGCTGCAAAGTCTACTGTTTTGACTCGATACTATTTCACCTGAAATATTTGCAAACGCATTGGAATTTAAAATGTCAGAATTGGAGAAGAAAGGCGGAATTTGAGTATTTGGACAGCATTAAGCTATTCAGCATACTAAAGCTGCAGATTGAACCTCAAGGCAGCAAGTCACCAGTTTTATTAGCAAACAAGTCAGCACTATATGAACAAAAATGAAGTTTTACCTCAAATATCCAAGCCAATAATGAAATCTGTAGTCGATCACATCACTAAATTACAAGAAATTTGAATAATAGCAACAAAATGGCACATAAAAGTAATAGTCTGCCATCTGAGGCTCAAAAAGTAAAATAAAAACTTAGACAAAGTGTTACAAAATAACCTTTTTCAATAGCTGGTTGCTTGTGCTGGGGTCTTTCCAATGGACCGGCGATTCAAATGATCGGCTCTCCTCCAAAGGCATCCTTTATGTCGACTTCTCGTCTATTTGATGTATCTAGGTTTGAAAAATGTAGACTTCAGCAAGGAAAATCCTCTCCCCCCTTTCACATTTTGTGGATCCTTTCCTAGTAAGTGCTGGCCTTGCTTGACACATCTGAGTATACATTACCCACCTCCCACCAGGCACTAATAGTTGGTGCAATGAGACTTTTTGAGGCAAAGACTGTGGATTCTCCATTAACCACAGCACATTGTGTTGGGGAATGCTCAAACTACACTTAATACAAGACCAGCCCAAGTATGTTAAATTACAGATGAGTTCTTATTCAAAATCTTGAACAATCATTAAACAGCCGCATTTCCATAACAGTTCTAGGCCCCCTTCCTTTGAAAAAAACAGGACCAAAAATTTGAGGGAGGTTAAAGACACACTATCCATTTTGCCCACCTAGCACATCTTTTGAGCCCGCAATTGCAGTGTAGAAGCGCCTGGTTTCCATAAAGGTTTGCTTTTCAGCTTTGGTTTCTAACAACATTGGAAGCCATTGACCTGTCTGTGTGGCCACAGGCCCGTTTGCCCATTAACAGGATAGTGTATCTTTAACAAGTAAAGACAAACCTGCTCCAACACACGCCCACAGAAACTGGTCCCTGGAGGATCAGCCAAATCAGTTAAAATCTGCAATACTGGCCAATATTCTTTAAGCAAACAGGAGACCGCAGCTTTAGAGGGGAAAATGCAGATGTTGGGTAAGAACAGTAAGAAATAGTCATTTTCAGAAATAGGTAGTGTCGCAAAACAATAGATATTAAAAAGCAAGCTATCAAGAGCAACAAAAGAAGGTATCCTTTCATTAACTACATACTAAAGCACCCTCCTCAGAAGTAAACAACATGCCCCATTAGCTTTTACAGGCTCTAAAATACTCCAGGAAGGACCCCAATTGCTATAAAAAAGGGGCACACATGCAGGGCCAGCCGCCCAGAAGGCACCTTACCATTGCCTTAAGAGGACACAGCTCCTTCCTCTTCGGGAGACTTGGGCGGGCTCTTGGAGCGGGAGCGCGACTTGGACTCCCTCTTGGAGACCGGTGGTGGGCTTCTCGACCGGGAGCGGGACCTGGACCGGGAGCGAGATCTAGATGGGGAGGAGGACTTGGACTTTGACCTTCGGGCCGAGCGCGACTTGGAAGTGGAGCGAGAGCGCGACCGGGTGCGGGAGCGGGACTTGGAGCGGCTGTAGCGAGATCGGCTCCGGGAGCGGGACCGGCTTCTGCTCCGGGATCGGCTGCGACGGCGCCTCCTGGGGCTGCAAGAGAAGGGAGAGAGAGAGGTTGAGGGGGAAGGAAACACAGGCAGAAAGGTGGGTGGGTTTGTGTAATGTTGCAACACTCTAGTTCAGGGATGGGCAAACCTGGGCCCTCCAGGTGTTCTGGACTTCAACTACCACAATTCACAACAGCTGGTTCGCCCATGCCTGCCCTAGTTGCTTTGAATGGGGAGTTTCATTCACAAGGGCGGGGACACAGGCAGGCTGGCTCCCCTTCCTCTTGTCACGTGGCTGCCGTGGGGCTCAACTTTCTCTTTCCTGTCTTCCCGCCACCTCACTTCTGCCTTTTTTCCTGCCTGACACCCCTCCATGAATTACTCCTCACATGCTGCCAGGCACTAAGAGCTCACCTACACTGTAGAATTAACTCAGTTCTATACACGCAGAAACGTATTATAGAAACAGAGTTGGAGGAGATCCCAAGGGCCACCCAATCCAACCCCTTCAAGAAGGGCAGCCTTGCCGTGGTTTGAATGATTACGCACGGGTCTAAAAGGTTTCCTGTTGCAGGCAGAGACAAAAAAAGCACCCTATTATAACAGAAAAAAATATTTCCACACTAGACTGTAAGGGTTTCTTTTTCCTCCCTGTTGGGCTTCACACCTCACATCAGTCAGGAAAAAAAACCCTCCCAAGGTAGAATGACTGCAGTTGGCTGAAGGTGGTGGGATCCTGGGACACTAGCGCCATTTGGCAAAGAAAAACGTTGAAACTACAGCTCCCATGACCACTTTTTTTTTTGTAAACAGCATATTTGAGAGTGATTAGTTCCTAGACCGTTAGTACTTTGTTCAGCACTTAATACACGGTTGCACTATCCCTTGCCCAGCCCTTTTAGTTTGGCCATTGGTATTTTGAACCTGTCTGATGGGAGCTATACTGAAACCGGTATGTAGGTATTTTCTGTATGTTTTAGTCGGGTTTTAGGTTTAATTGGTCTGAGTCGTTTTTCCTTTCTGGCCATTCAAGGTTTGGCCTTATATGTTGGAAACCGCCCTGGGTCTCCTTGGGGAGAGAAATGAAGTTCTGTTATTATAATCTTATTATCGTTGTAACTTGTCATGAATCCCACCCCTTCCCGCTCTAGCTGCGCTCCGTGGGCTGCCTGGGGTGGCTGAGGCCCGTGCTTGAGGGAGGCCCAAGCGCCTCCCCCCCCCCCGCCCCAGGGCCGCTGGTTCACCTCCTGCTGCGCCGCCCGTATCCTCCTCCGCTGCCGTATCGGCGAGGCGGGGGCCCGCGGCGGCTGTGGTGGGAGTCGGGGGGCCGCCCGTAGCGCGCCATCTGGACGCGGAGCTCCCTGCCGTCGAGCACGGCCCCGTCCATGGCGTCCATGGCGTCCTCGGCGTCGCGCTTGTCGTGGAAGCGGACGAAGGCGAAGCCGCGGCTCTCCTTGGTGTAGCGGTCGCGGGGGATGTAGACGTCGCCCACGCGGCCGTACTTCTCGAAGACGCGGCGGAGCGTGTCCGGCGAGGTGCGGTAGGTCAGGTTGTCCACCTTCAGCGAGGTCATGCCCTCCACGTCCGGCGGCGGGCGCCCGTAGCTCATGGTGGTCGGAAGGAGGAGGAGGACGAAGGGGACCACGAAGACGACGAGGAGGACGACAACGGGCGAGAAGGCCCTCTCTCAGGGACCCGGATGGAAGCACGCGGCGCGGGGCCTCAGTTGCGAGCCGCCATCTCCGCGCGGCGCCACGAGCGAGTGAGCCTGGGCCCGCCCTTCCTCCCGCACTTAAGCGCCGCCACAAAATGGCCGCCGACCCTGACCCGGAAGGGACCCTCGGCACCACCCACCTTCCCGCCCTCCCTCTCTTCTCAGTTATACCTCAATCATACCTCAGCTATGGGCCAACTATTTCGTATTCGTGAGCTAAACTGGCGGGTTGCTTGTTTCCAACAGCATGTTTTTAAACCATATTTTTCCTTATTGCGTTCAAATGCTCGGGTTTCCGTTAGGGCGCAACCCGGAAGGGAATGATGGAGACTCGCCCCGCGCCCTCTCCCCTCTGGAGAAAATAATTTTCAAATCGCACTAAATGTGACAGAATCGTGTACTGGGATACCCTTTTTTTAAAACCATAAACATTTAGGTCTTTTATTTTGGACGTGAATATACAGGACTGCGTTTGTCCGAAGAGGAAAATCCTGCATTCAAAATGGCGCCCAAAGAAAGGACGGAGCCGAGGGCTCCCTCAGGCGCGCGCACGGCGTCGGTGACGCGCACGTCACAGGCAAGCAAAAGCCGCCCGTCTCTGAGCCGCAGTGAAGAGGCGCCAGCCAGTCTCGGGAGGGGCGTGGCCACGCTTCGCCCCGCCCCCTGCGTCCTCTCTGAGTGAGGCCTAGGCGGCGCCCCTGGCTCCCTCGACGCACATGGAGCCTTTTGTCTTTTCTCTCTCGTGTTGGTTTACTCTTGGCTGTTAAAGCACAGCTAGCAGAGGGAGGGGCTGAAGGCACCAGAGAAAGGCAACTTGAGAGACTAGTGAGCGAAGATTTCAGCTTTTCAGAACTTCTAATTGGAGTGGATGCTGAGTAAAGGGGAGTTATTTGCACTCCCATTTTACTGTGCTTTGAATGCGATTTTCCTTCTTGGCAGGAGGTTGGATTGAATCATAGAATCAAAGAGTTGGAAGAGACCTCATGGGCCATCCAGTCCAACCCCCTGCCAAGAAGCAGGAATATTGCATTCAAATCACCCCTGACAGATGGCCATCCAGCCTCTGTTTAAAAGCTTCCAAAGAAGGAGCCTCCACCACACTCCGGGGCAGAGAGTTCCACTGCTGAACGGCTCTCACAGTCAGGAAGTTCTTTCTCTTGTTCAGATGGAATCTCCTTTCTTGTAGTTTGAAGCCATTGTTTCGCGTCCTAGTCTCCAGGGAAGCAGAAAACAAGCTTGCTCCCTCCTCCCTGTGGCTTCCTCTCACATATTTATACATGGCTATCATATCTCCTCTCAGCCTTCTCTTCTTCAGGCTAAACATGCCCAGCTCCTTAAGCCGCTCCTCATAGGGCTTGTTCTCCAGACCTTTGATCATTTTAGTCGCCCTCCTCTGGACACATTCCAGCTTGTCAATATCTCTCTTGAATTGTGGTGCCCAGAATTGGACACAATATTCCAGGTGTGGTCTAGCCAAAGCGAAATAGAGGGGTAGCATTACTTCCCTAGATCTAGACACTATGCTCCTATTGATGCAGGCCAAAATCCCATTGGCTTTTTTTGCCGCCACATCACATTGTTGGCTCATGTTTAACTTGTTGTCCACGAGGACTCCAAGATCTTTTTCACACGTACTGCTCTTGAGCCAGGCATTGTCCCCCATTCTGTATCTTTGCATTTTGTTGTTCCTGCCAAAGTGGAGTATCTTGCATTAGTCACTGTTGAACTTCATTTTGTTCGTTTTGGCCCATCCCTGTAATCTGTCAAGATCGTTTGAATGGCCTACAAGATCTCTTTCAACTCAATGATTCTATGATTCCAGCCTGTAAGTGTGAGTTGAGACAGACAAGAGGTCTGTTTATGGGAGTATCTATACTGTAGAATTAGTGCAGTTTGACGCCACTATAACCGCCATGGTTCAATGCTATGTAATCTTGGGAGTTATAGTTCTAAAAGGTCTTTACCCCCCATTGTCGAAGCCTAAACCCCAGCCCCCAGTATTTTGTAGCACCAAGTTCAAGTGGTGTCAAACTACAGTGTCAATGCACCCTATGCTAAAGAGATTTTAATTGATGTCCATAAATGGTAGGCTTCTAAAAGTGCACCTGCACTGTCGAATTGTTATAGTTTGGCCTCACTTTAACTGCCCTGTCTCAATGCAGGGGAATCCTGGTGAAGCACCAGCACTTTTGGGCCGAGAAGGCTAAAACACATCATTATCAGAGAATGATGGTCTTCCAAAGATAGAGACTGCAGTGGGTCTGTAAGTGACTCCAGGATTCCCTAGCAGTTAACGTGATGTCAAACTACATGAACTCTGTAGTGCAGATACAGCCTTAGCTGGGTGAAACGTGTAGTTTCCCAAATGCTGCTGGATGGAGAGCCAGTGGTGAATAGTGAATGGATTTCAGTGCTTGGAGGGCTACATGATTTCCTCCCCAAAGTACACATGCCATGGTTTGTGGCTTCAACAAGATGGGGGCCAGTTTGAATTGAAGCAATACAGTTGGCTCCTCTGTATCCATGGATTTGATCATCAACTTGAAAATACTCCATATAAAAAAAATCCCCAAAGGCGAACCTTGACTTTCCAATTCAGTTTTAAGGAACACCATTTGACTATCTGTGTATATCATGAGCTGTGAATTTTTGTATTCACTGGAGTCCTGAAACCAAACCCCTGTGGATCCTGAAGGCCCACCGTAATTCTTTGCAGGCAGCGCATAGACACTTTTGAGGATATGATGAAAACGGTGCCGCTCCTCCCAGAAAAATACACCAAAAATATACAACCTTCTGCATACAGGCTTTTTTAATTGGATTGGAAACGGATTTCCTTCATAAATCAGTCTGGAATGAAAGCAAATGAATGTTTGGAAAGCCTGGTTTATTTATTTACTTTATTATTTATTTATTTCTATCCCACTTTTTGTCCTGGGCCAGGACTCAAAGCAAAAACATAACACACAATAAAAATAAACAACATCATAAACATAATCGCACCTAATAAAAATTATTTTATAACCCACATAAATGCAATTAGCATCCAAACAAAGAACACAATTAAACATTCAATAGATTAAAATAAATTAAAAACCCCATCTAGAATAAGTTCATTTAGGTCACTGTCAGGTCTATTCCCGGAGATTATTTGTTATTTATTTAATATTTAATTTATATCTTCCCATATAGACTCCAAAGTGGCCTTTTTTACTACCTTAAAATACATTGTGATAAGAAAAAATGATCAGAACAAGGAAATTGAAGAAAGCCATTCATTCCTAGAAGTTCTTGAGTCCTTTGAGCACAATCCACCAGACCCCAAGAAGGTGGATAAATGGGCTTCATGTTAAAAAAGATTCATATCTAATAGCTGAAGATCCAACAGCACCTGGAAATATATGGTTGGGAAATCAAGCATGCATCTAAAAACTAGAATTAATGTGGTTTGATATCACTAACTGCAATGGCTCATTGTTACGGAATCCTGGGAGTTCTAGTTTTATAAAGCCTTTAGCCTTCACTGCCAAAAAGTGCTGGGGCCTCATCAAACTACATATCTCATTATTTCATCACTTTGGGTCATGGTAGTTAAAGTGGTGTCACACTGCATTAATTCTAAAATATAGATGCACCCATGGTCTGCTTCTTGTGTTTCTGAGGTCCCCTCCCCCTATAGAGGCATGAAGTAAGGTTGTAATTGTGACTGTAAGAAGAAATACTCAAATGAAGACAAAATGTATTAGTTTCTAACAATTTCTAGCATATCAAAACCTAGAAACAATTGCAGACCAAATCAAAAGATTATCTTTTCTATCAACTAAATGATCTTGACTAACTTGCTTCAAGCTTTTAACAGAGAGGGGAAGAAAATATGCAGCCCTGGTTGGTTCTACATTGTAAAATGAATTAGATTTGCCACTACTTAACTGCTCTGGCACAATGCTGTGGAATCCCAGGATTTGTAGTTTGATGAAGCACCAACAGTCTTGGGCAGAGAGGGTTAAAGACCATGTAAAATTACAGCTCCCAGGATTCCATAGCATTGAGTCATGACTGTGAAAGTGAGTTATTTATTTACCCTACTTATACCCCGCTTTTCTCAACCCCGAAGGAGACTGAAGGCAGCTTTACATATAGGCAACTATGTGATGCCTTAAAACAACATGAAATTAAAATAAACATTTAATTAAGAATTACAATTCAGAGGTAAAGGTTTTCCCCTGACATTAAGTCTAGTACTTTCTGACTCAGGGGGATGGTGCTCATTTCTGTTTTTAAGCTGAAGAGCCAGCGTTGTCCGTAGACACCTCCAAGGTCATGTGGCTGGCATGACTGCATGGAGTGCCGTCATCTTCCCACTGGAGCGGTACCTATTGATCTACTCACATTTGCATGTTTTTGAACTGCTAGATTGGCAGAAGCTGAGGCTAACAGCGGGAGCTCACGCCACTCCCTGGATTTGAACCACCGATCTTTTGGTCAGCAAGTTCAACAGCTTAGTGGTTTAACCCGCTGCGTCATCAGGGGCTCCAAGAATTAAAATTAAAGCACATTAAAACATTTAAAAACATTACATTCACTGTTAAAAGTACACCACCCACAATCGTAATCCGTGGCCGTTCCAGTAGTCATTGCACATAATTCCTATCTATTATTGAACTATAATTATTATCTGAAGGCTTGATCTCAAACTGCATTTATTCTACAGAATAGATGCACCCCAAATTTGTCTTAATGCAGTTTACTACCTTTGAGATTGTAAAGCAATTTCAACCAGCTATTACAGTGAAGAGAGTTACAAGACAAGGTGCCCAAATAAATGCTAATTTCAATGTTTATAACAAATAGAAAGATTTAGGGGGGTTTTGCAGAGGCATAAAGAGTGAGACAGCTAAGAACTATTTATTATTTCTGCTAAGAGGAATTTCTTTTGGGGAAAAAACAAACAAGTGTAAAACACATTGATCACAGTGTTATTTAATGCTAAGCAGTTAAGAGTGGCAATCTAACATTATGGAGCTAACAAAATTGCAACCATTCATCCATAGCCACCAAATAAGACATTTCTCATCACTGAAGCAGATCGCCACCCATACTCGCCATGTGCTCATTCTTCCTGCTTTTTAGAACTGCATTTCCCAGGGTTCACCTCTTCTGCTTTCTGTCATTTGATCAGCTGACTTGACATGTGAGCTGGTCTTTATTTCCTGCCCTGAATAAATGGAAATTATCCAAGTTCCATTTGTTGTCAGGTGATTTATCGTTTTTGGGGGCAAAAACTGATTCAGAGATATGGTTAAGTGTCCAAGAAGATCAGCTGGGCCTGAAGGTTTCTTCTTTATGGGGAATGTACTCTTATTCTGAGTGTGAAAGGTAGAGTGAATCTTGTATGATCATTCATTGATTAGTGTGTTTTCCCTGCTACTGTTGTTGTATGTAGGTATTACGTTCATAAATAAATAGTCTCAGTTAATGCAGTACTAGGGCTGAAGCTTTATTTATTGTGATCTTTTTTGTATTCTCTTGGCAGAAACATAAAAAGAGAAGGAAGTTTTAAAGCCAGACGCGCCTGCATTTCAGTTTGATAGCCTCCGGGGAAAACAAATAAACAAACAAAAATGAATTCTGAAACAAAAAAGCAACTGAACATTATTGTTCTAGGGACAGCCTTTATGTTTATGTTCACTGCCTTCCAGACTTGTGGAAATGTTGCGGTAAGCGCAAATATGTTTGTACTATTGTCTTCTTTCACTTTTCCTTTCTTTGTGGTGTATTGGTAAATCTGTTTTTCTTGGGGGCTACTGCCATATACAATATGTTCCTCTATTGATTGTTTTTCTCTATTTTATTTAGATTCATTGCTGAAGCATTCTGCTACTTTTATCTGGCAGTGACAAAAATGGTGTCAAAATGGGGATGGGTGTGTTCTTAAATACACTTAATGCGGGGAAGGCTCTTCAGGCATCTGAAGATTGAGTTTAAAGTTTTAAAAAAGTGTTGGCAGCGTTTTTTTAAAATTGAAATATAGTATCATATCCTTCTTTAATATACATAAGAATTTTGTTGTTGCCATATTATTGAGTTCATTGTGTAAAATATCATTTAATAGAATAACATTTTAAACATAAAATTCCCATGTTGGAATTTTGCCCCCCACCCCCCTTCCCCAGTCATAATACCTGGTTCTTGTACTTTAACATTGTCTCTATAGTTGTATTGCTCAAATTAACTTGGCCCTTCTAGGCCAAACTTATCATCTGGCTTTTGCACTTTCCCACTAGCCCTGTCTTCATAATTGTATTTCACAAGCCCCTGCCTCGCCCCTTCGCTCAGTATATGGCCACAATGTAGGGTTGCAGGTTGTTGTGATGGTTATGTTTTTATGATGTTTGCATTTGTGAATTTTTATTGTGTTATATTTAATCTGTATTTGACTGGGCTTGTTCCTATGTAAGCCGCCCCGAGTCCCTTTGGGGAGATGGTAGCGGGATACAAAAATAAAGTTGTTGTTATTCCAGGAATTTTTTTGAAGAGTTTCCAGTCTTTCTTGAATTTGAAGGGTCATTTATCTGAAGATATCTTGTCAAAATGCCAATTTCTGCTATTTCATCTACTTTTACTATCAATTCCTCTTTTTTGGTGTTTCTTCTAGTTTCCATGTCCACGCATACACAATTCTTGCTGCAATTGTCATCAGAATGAAAAATGTCACATCTTCATAAATTTCAGAATTTGATGCAGTTAACTCCTAACAGTTGTACCTCTTTGTAAAACTCTATTTTCTTTCGCACACCTCTGAGGCCTATGTGAGGCTTTCCTGACTATTAGATAAGTGAGAACAAAGATAATTGGGTTCTTCTTGCCTTTGTTTTTTTTATTGGAACAATGGGCATTTGGGAAAGGCTGTCTGATGAAACAATGTGTAGCCTTCCCATCTGACAAAAGCAGAAAATGGAGCATTTAGGGAAACCAATGGGCAAAAAGAACTAATTTACTTAAACTATGGTCTTACTTTTATAGTCCCTCTTTACAGCTATTTTGGTGATTGCTAGATAACATGTTTGACTCTTGATTGAATCTTTCCTCTTATCTCTGGAAAGGTGGTTATAAAAGTGTCTGGCTTATTCAGACAATTACTTTGAAGTTGTGAACAAAAGTAACTGTTATTAATGTATCTGCATCACAACTTTTTTTTTACTCTTTTGCAATAAAAAATTTGTTAAACCATTCTATGTAATTAATTTTCTTTATTTCTTTTAAAAACAGCAAACTGTTATCACAAATTTAAACAACACCGATTTCCATGGTAGTGGCTACACAAGGTATTTCAAAACTATATTTTAATAGGTTCTTGTGGGTTTTTTCGGGCTATAGAGCCATGTTCTAGAGGCATTTCTCCTGACGTTTCGCCTGCATCTATGGCAAGCATCCTCAGAGGTTGTGAGGTCTGTTGGAAGTAGGAAAAATGGGTTTATATATCTGTGGAATGGCTGGGGTGGGGCAAGGAGCTCTTCCCTGCTGCAGTTAGGTGTGAATGTTTAGCTGATCACCTTCATTAGCATTTGAAGGCCTTCCTGAGCCTGGGAAAATCTGTTGCTGGGAGGTGTTAATCTGTGCCTGGTTTTTCCCTCTATATTTTAATATTTTTATTGCTTTTCCACTGCATTCAGGCCCCTTCTATACTGCCATATAAAATCCAGATGATATCCTTTGAACTGGAATATATGGCAATGTAGACTCATATAATCCAGTTCAAAGCAGATAATGTGGATCATCTGCTTTGATAATCTGAATTATATGACAGTATAGAAGGAGCTAAAGTCTCTACATTCATGGATAATGTGAAACTGTGGCATTCTCTAGGGTCTATGATAAAGTGCTCATGCTCCTGTATTGTTCTTGTTTGTGTTTGAGGACTGTGTTTAATATTATGTCTAATTGAACAATGAGAGAATTATGAAAAGTTATTAATATTTCTGAAATAAACTGAAATTGCATATTTTAAAATGAACTTTTCAAAAATGCTTGGAGTTTAGTTGACATGCTTACTAATGGTTATTTCTTTCTGCAGTATGGCTGTTATTTATGGGGTGTTTTCAGCATCAAATTTGATTTCGCCTTCAGTGGTTGCTATCCTTGGTCCACAATTATCCATGTTCATTGGTGGCATCTTTTATAGGTAAATAAAATGTTTCAAATTCTTGATATTTCATTCTTGTTGTCTGCTTTTTATTTGATTATGTCTACATAATTTGCTTACTTGGTGAAAACTAGTAATAGCTGGAGAAATAGGATAATAACTTTCTAAAGAGAAAGAAAAGCAGCTATGAGTTGTTTTTCTGCTGCAAAATGTAAACCTTTGCATCCCCTGAAACAAAAATGGGGACTTCCTGTGGCACATTCCACATCAGGCCTACCAGATCCCTCAAGATAAATTCCCTGTTTGGGTGGTTGAAAATCTGTTTAAGACTCAGTGGATAAACCTTGACTTTCCACTTGAAGGCATATCTGGCACCACCACTGTTGTTTTTAGTTACCTTTTAATTGACCTTCCCAATGAAGAAGGTGAATATTGAATAAAGCCAAATCTTCAGTGCATTGAAACATTTGTGTGTTGAGCCGTTAGAGCAGAGTAACATGAGAGGGGGACTTCACAGCAAAAGGAAATGTAATTCACTGGCCAGTTTGGCAAATGTCAGGATAAAAAAGAAGATGGGAGAGAGAGTGACTTTAGTTCTGGCTACTATACACATGCAGCTTTCCCCTTCTGGGATAAATGTGGCTTAGAATACAAGGACAGTGGTTTCATTCATGAGAAAACAGGAGATATAGCTTAGTCCATGTTGAGTTTGAGAAAGAGGAGAAATCAGTTCAAATGCTTGTACAACAGGCATCCTCAAACTGTGCCACTACAGCTGTTTGGGCCCCCAACTTCAAGAATTCTTGACTATTTAACAAGCTGGCTAGGGCTTCTGTGAGTTGGAGGCCCAAACGGCTGGAGGGCTGCCATTTGAGGATGCCTACTATACAGTTACAACATTCACTGCATGGAGGAAGGGAGGGATTGGATAGGCAGTCTGAAGGCCGGAAGGTCTACTCTTTGTTTTTGAAGGGTGAAGAGAGAATAATGCACGAGTTTGAATGATTAATAAAATGTGACATTGTGTGTTTTAGGGATGAGCATCTTGATTTCCAATGTACTGACTTGCAGGCTTTTGGAATTTAAGAATACTATATTCACTTAGTCAAGTCGTGTGTCTGCTATAATGTAAAGTATATCTGGTAACTAGGAGAGGTAGTTTGTAGATTTCACTGGAGCAGGTAATGCTAATTAAGTTCTATAAAATACATAGACAATTCCCAGTGCAAGTTGAGAATTCTTTTATTAAAGTATCATGAGCACGGCATCATCCATGTTAACTCTGAATACCATACATGGTCGTCTTTTCAGCATATATATTGCCGTTTTTATCCAGCCTTCTACATGGACATTCTACACAGCCTCGGTTTTCCTTGGAATAGCAGCTGCTGGTAAGCTATTTTCCCAATAAAAACAAGCATTCCTAATCTTATTAATTTAAAAAAAGATGGATCAGCAAAGAGAAATGTGTAGTATCATGGCTAATATATCCCTGAGCAACTGAAAATGCTCCATGGTTCCCGACTTCTCCCCCTCCAAGCTTTTCCTCCTCTTTTCTGCTCCTCCCCATCCCCTGCCTCTTTTGCTACCAAAAGTCTTTTTTCCTCACCTTCCTCACAGATTCTTTTCCCCTTACCTTCCTTGTTTCCAAAACCCTATTTTGCTCCCATCGCTCAGGGGGTGCTTTGATTGTGCTTTCCTGCATGGCAGAAGGGAGTTGATGTGGGGACATTGATTTCCAAGGGTTGGCTTGATGCACCTTCCTTTCGATACATTTCTCCCTCCATTTGTGCCTCTTAGAATTCCACAGCACTGGGTTTCTATTATTATTATTATTATTATTATTATTATTATTATTATTATTATTATTAGATGCTCTGTGTTTTTCCTGCATGGCACAAGGGGGTTGGACTAGATGGCCCCTCCGGTTGCTCCTATTATTTATATATATATACACATTATATATAATGTAATATAATATAAACATTTCTTGGGGCTCCATGAGAAACTTTTGCTTCAAAAAGGACTGCGACTGAAAAGGTTTGGGAAGCCCTGCTCTAGCATGACCATAGAGTCATCCTGGAAAACCTAGCAGTGTTTCTCAACCTGTGGATCCCCAGGTGTTTTGGCCTACAACTCCCAGAAATCCCAGCCAGTTTACCAGCTGTTAGGATTTTTGGGAGTTGTAGGCCAAAACACCTGGGGGCCCACAGGTTGAGAACCACTGTGCTAGAGTTTTCGAGAAAGAAGATACTGATCAAATCTACAAGAGGTAAACCTGCAAATGTGGAGGGCCAATCTGCAATTTCAGATTTAAGGAAGAATTTCACCAAATTCCAGATTTTAGTCATGCATATTTCATTCATACATACAGTCAAAATGTATGAATCAGCTCTAAGATGTGTTCTAAAATCTAAATCTGAATGAACTATATCTGTAAGCTCACACAGATATTCACTGTGAATAAACTTAAATGAACATACTCCAACACCATTTACTAATGTTTTGATTTACCCATCAGTATTGTGGACTGCTCAGGGAAACTGCCTGACAATAAACTCCAATGAAAACACAATTGGCAGGAACAGTGGAATATTCTGGGCATTACTGCAATCCAGGTAAGGAGCAATGCTACTTTATTTGGTTATCTCCACATAGGACTTGTTCGGTTTATTGATAGGTCCTTCACATTTAATATTTATTTGCTGGGTTTATAACTTCTGTCTCTTCTGAAAAATCCATACTGAGTTACAGCTGAAAAACTTATTTAGGCTGCTATCCTGTAGACCAGTGTTTCTCAAACTCTGCTCCTCGAGGTGTTTTGGACTCCAGCTCCCAGAAATCCCAGCCATCTTACCAGCTGTTAGGAATTGTGGGAGCTAAAGTCCAAAACACCCGGAGGAGCAGAGTTTGAGAAACATGGCTATAGACAATTAATTGGAAGCAAATCCCATTTTAAGAAAATATGGGTAAAACCGAGTTATTAGGGTCTTACTTGATGATTATGATGGATATTTGCTTGATAGATGAGTTTCTGTACGATGTGTCCTGATTTTGAATTTTCTTTTAGAAATCTGGGGGACAAGTTCCAAAGGTTTGAGAAAAAATCCCGTCTCTCTGTTTGAGATGTGTCATGAGCTGCACCGCACTCTCAAATTGATTCTGGAAGTGGCCAGAAAACGTCTTTCATTTTTATGAAGACGGAGATAGCAAATTTTTATTTATTTATTTATTTATTTATTTACTGCATTTATTGACCGCCGCTCTCAGCCCTAGGGCGACTCGCGGCGGTGCACAACATATAAAATCAGTTTACAAAAGGGCAAAACAGGAAATCAATACAACAATAATACACTATAATCTAGTTACACTAAATAATTCGCTCCGTCACATCATAGAATCATAACCAATATCGCAATCCGTATTCCGTTCCAGTTGTCAATTACCAGTTGCCGTAGCGCTCAGTTGAATGCCTTCTCAAATAGCCAGGTCTTCAGGCTCTTACGGAAGGACAGAAGGGAGGGCGCCTGTCTGATGTCAGCAGGGAGGTCGTTTTAGGGAAGAGCTCTGCCATGTTTTAAAGGAGAAGCAGGATTGTACTAATTTTTTTTGTTTGGTTCAGAAGTCTGAAAATGACAGAAATGAGTAGTACACAGGCAGTGTATGTGCTCTTTGTTGCCCACCCTTGTTTTAAATAAATAGGCAGACAATTTAAAGTTGCCTAAAACGGCAAACCTTTAGACACTTAGTATCAGGTGTTAGTGTATTGCAATTCATAGTTCTAGATCATAGGAACCCAGATTCAGCTCCTGTGAGTGACCTCAAAACAGTAATTCTTTGTCTGGCCTTATGTAAGGATAGTAAGGATAAATTTACATGTATGTGGGGTCATGGGGTAGGAGGAAAGCAATGGGGACATGCCAAACGTCATTTTTCCCATCCTGAAATTGACCCACTATGTGGATGTTGTGGTTTATCCCACTTCTTTATTTGAAATAATAATCTGTTCCTGATAATAAAGGCCGAATTACAGTAAGATAGAACAGAACAGTTTAAAAGCAATACAATATTAAATTGGTAGACTGAGTGCACTTAAGACATAAGTGCTAAAGCTTACTAGTTTGAAACGAGGAGACAGAGTGACACAAATTAGCAGTGAGCTGAAGTGAAAAGGTTTTTGCTAGCTGCCTAAAGATCGAAAAAGAGGAAGAGAAACACCCCCAAGAAAGAGCTGGACAATCACAGCCCAGCAGGACTCAGAAGCATTATTATACTTGCTTGCCTGATTTTTGTACATGGTCAGAACAGGTAACAGGTTAATATGAGAAGGAACACATTGGTTTCTATGGTAATGTCCCATGGCTTTGAAGGTTTTATGGGTCGCCCTAGTAACCTGTATCCACTGACCAAAGGTTTCCTAGAACAAACTCTGAAATCTGTTAGACAAGCAAAAGAAACCCTCCAGAGCACACAGTTTCCAGGCTATCTGGACTTTGAAGCATATATTCTGCTTTCACATATATTCAACTATGTTCCCTATGGGAAGCAATTTATTGGATTCTTATTCAGCCAGGAAATTCTTTATTTTTAATGTACTTGACTATAACAGGGGGGAAAGTATACAGTTTTGAGGAGCATGTGCTTGTTATGTTTTTCTGTTGTCTCAGGATGTTTGAATCTGCCTGCAATGCCAAGCTAGTTGACCTTATTCAAGGAATTTTTTTGTGAGGATGGGGAAAGTTGTTTAGAATTGATTTGCAGTGTAAGATGTTTTTACATTCTTCCTGTTGTAATTCAGCTAGCTAGTTTAACAACTTATCTGATTTCTTGTGTTCACAGCTTGTTTTTTGGCAACCTCTATATATACTTTGCCTGGCGAGGGAAATCACATATAACAGGTTGGTTTTGTTAATAATATATATATTTGAGGCAGCAAGATTGAGGGTGAAATAATAATAGGAGATTTGCTATGCTGGAGACAGAATTTTAAGAACACCATGAAGATATTTGCAGCTTGTTTTAAATAGCTTCTGAATATTTACTTTTATTTTAATATATAGCAACCTAACTGTAAATATTAAATATTTTTGTTGTCTCTTCTCTATGTTTCTTGTTTAAATTCCATGTGTGTGCATCTGCTTCTCATTCTTCAAAGTACAATCCTTCTTGAAACTAGCTACAGTGGGCCCTTGGTATCTGCTATGGGTTGGTTCCAGGATCCTCACTTGGATGTCAAAATCAATAGATGCTCAAGTCCCATTAAATGCAATGGTAGAGGAAAACAGTGTAAAAATGGCAAAATCAAGGTTTTCTCTTCGAATTAAAAAATCAAGTTGTGGATGATTGAATCTATGGATGCAGAATCCATGGATACAGAGGATCAACTATAATTTGAAATGTGTCACTACTAGTGCTGAGCACCTTCTCTTCTTGACCTCACCTTGACCAGACTTTTGGTTCTTACCCGGCCTTAGTTCTTACTGTTTATCTTCCAAATCCCTCCTCAAATTACACTGTTCTTGAACTTCCCCTCTGCTTGCCCTGCCTACTAGAAAATTTAAGCCAAATCCGATTTCTACATCCGAGACTTATACCACATTTTGTATTTCCTTTATCTGTGATACCAAGGTGAAACTTGCATTAGCTGCGATATGCATATAATTTTGAATTGACCCATTTCCACTTTAGAAGACTATCTCACTTTATTTATCTATCTATTTATTTCAAACATTTCTATCCCGTCCTTCTCAACCCACGAGAGGGACTCAGGGTGGCTTACAAATGGCAACCATTACATGCCAACAAAAACATCAATTGCATTACAAAACAAATTGACATTAGGTAAACAACAGATTACAAATATACATTAAAATATTAAGATATTAAAGTGTTAAAATCACTTTGCATGTGATGCAGTCCAGATTAAAAAATATAATTAAAATCTGATTTTCTACATTTATTTATGTGCTTGTTTTGGGAAATTCTGTCTCTTCATATTCTTTGGCTGTAAAAATACAAAGATATACAATCATCCAGTAAGAAGGCAATACAATAGTGCATATTTCCTTCTGTTTATTGAAGGTCATGGTTTCTAGTAGAGATAGTGCTCAAGGTTGCTAACCATAAAAATGTGTATGAAATGACCAAATTATCATTTAAAGTTGCCAATATAGTTGTGATAGGTTTTAGCCTCTCTCCAACTTATTTATTTATTAAGAAGGAACACAGGCTGGCTGTTGCTCTGTAAGGTTTCAGGAGGATTCTCTCCTAGCCCAGTCTGAAGATATTTTCTGGTGCTCTACCATCCACATTCAAGCTAGATTGGGTGATTTTTCACAGGCTTGTGGTATTATGAACAGTATTTAAAACTTTTTATACCACCTCTTTAGTCTCCCGTCCCCCTGCCCAACAATGACAATATGTGATAAAAGCAACATAAAGTTGGCACTAAAATTTGATTTTAGAAAAAAGGAGGGGCCATGAAAAAATGGCTAAGAGCGCCTTGGGTTCAAATCCACATTAATCTCATTGGGTCACATTCCTGAACATCCTGAAAACTCAAGTTTGGGAATCACTGCTCTAGCTCATCCTCATCAAATCTGGCTAGAATTCTTTTTAAGCTGTACCTTGAAATGTCATGGATTGAACCTATTCTAGTTTCTGCCAAAACTCACACAGTGCAGTCCAATTAAATAATGTTAAATATTTAATACCATCAGTGCATTCGTTTTAAATACATAATATGAGTTTCATCAGTTCAGGGTTTGAATAATAGGTTGAAGTGAAAAGTTTCTTTAGGTATGCTTTAGGTATTCTTCACTTTGCTTCAACACAGAAATATCATCAGTAATGTGATGAGTTGGAATAGATGTACCGTTGTTTGTTGATGAAGGTATAAAACACTGTTTTTCTCTCCTCAGAAAGAGACCGTAGGACTGTCTTCATTGCTTTGACAGTGATCAGTCTTGTGGGCACCGTTCTGTTTTTTCTAATTCGGACCCCAGAAGAATCAAATTCAGACGAAGAAGAATCCAGTACTGATAACCTTGTGGAACGCACGTAGGTGTTTATGGCTACCCCCTTCTTAAATAAGCATGTTCCTGAAACCATGATTTCTGTGTTTATAAGAACTATGTCTCACACGTAAAAGCAATTGTGTGCATACTGTCTTGTATAAGGTATGACAACTTAAATAATTGTGCTTCTCTATTAATTGATTGCTTGGGGTGAGATGTTGCTGAAAAGACAATCTTTCTAACATGCCAGGATAAAATGGATTATAGCTCTCCTACATGTGAGTTCTACATTTCTGGAGCTACTATTTGTAGTTAGCATGTGAAAGAAATTACAATGGTTGGGATGAAGGTTTTGCTCTGTTTGAGGTAAACGAATTTGGATTCCTTGTCTAGAGAAGCAGTAGTTTATTGGTCTCACTGTAGCTAGTCAAGCTAGGGCTGGGCTGGGTCACTTCAGACTGTAAGTGCACATTCACATTAATGCATGCTTTTACATACATCCTGCAATTCCAATCCTTAGAAAACTAACATGCAACAGAGAAGAATGAGCTAAGCCCCTTCTCCTTGGCATCTATTTTTTCCAATTCATGTGGAAATGTTTAGTGAGGAGGCAAAGAAAACTATTCATGCATATAGCATTTTGAAGGCTTATTAAGGTGGTAGGTATGGCTGATTTATTAAGGTAAAGAGATCATAGAGTTCATAGAAAATTCTAAAGGGTGAATTTTTATTCATATATTATTTAGTTTAATAGCTTCCATTCTTATTCTCCTCTATTTTATCTATACTCTGTTCCATAAAATTGGGATTTAAGGCTTACAGTTTAAATAAGTCTCATTTCTGAATGGATTTTTTTTCTCATATTGATACTCATATTTTCCCAGTAGAAACGAGCACTGAGGGAAAAATTGTTACCAAATAGAACATGGCTATAATTTATTTTCTCAGTTCACTATTTATTTTCTCACTTTAAGTAAACATCTGTTTTTAAACAGGTCTGGCCAGAGCAGAATGACAAAGGCCGTAGATGCATTTAGTAAGTAAAATTCCAAATAATAAATTCCTCAGGAATGTTTATGATATTTACTCATTTAATTGTGCCCAGCCACAGTCAGCTGTGATTTTTTTTTCCTGCAAAACTTACTTACTGAGATTCTTAAGAGTTACAAGATCTCTGCTTTATTTTTTTCCTGCAGTTATGGCACTTTCCCTCACGTTGTTGTTGTTATATTATTATTTATTTCCCACATTTGTACCCTGTCCTTCTCACCCCGGTGTTGTTGTGGTGTGTCTTTGAGTTATGCTTGACCAATGGTGACTCTAAGGAAGAGCTATCATTAGCTATGATTTGTTTTGAAGAACTTTGCCATAGCTTTCCTCTGCAGCTAGAAGAGTGTGTGACTTGCCAAGGCTATTTAGTGGATTTTATGGCTGAGTTGGTATTCAGATCCTAGTCCCTGGCAGCCATGGTCTAATATTCAGACAACTACACTATGTTTGTTTTCATTTCTTTTTAGTTAAATATATTATTTTTAATATCAGGACAGACTTCTCTCCATGGAAGAGAAAGTAGTTTTGGTTCTCTTATACAGTGGTTTCCTTAAAGGTTCTTTGTAGCTCAGTGAATACAGGCTGTCTTCTTAGTATGAGAAAAGTTGTAGTTTTTCCATTGTGGTGATGGGAGTTTGAAATCTGGCTTGCTTAATGTTTATTGTGTTTTCTTTAACGTGGTTTTTTCAGATGTTGAATAGGCAAGAAGGGAGCCTAGTAGGATGTCTTATCTTGCCTGGTTCAAACAATAGATTATTCTGTCCTTATCTCTTCTTATTCCCTGTGGTCTCCTGATTTTATATTCAGGCTCTTGTATTAATAGAGAAGAGGTCATTATTATGAGGGAAGGAGTAGTTAGACAATTCTTTTCCCTCTTAATCCAGTATTAATTGAGGATTGTTATGATAGATGTATATGCATTTATGTTTTTTTTAAATACTGTGGCTTCTTTGCAGAAAGATCTATCAAGCTGTGTGCCACAAAGGAGATTCTGCTTCTCAGCATAACAACAGCCTATACAGGTAATTGAAGAACAAAATAACACTGGGCTCTGGAGCCTCTACGTATCCTTCAAACAGAGCCTTTTTCTTGTTCAAGATTAGCTTTCTATTATATTGTTGTTCAATAAAATATAATAAAAAACTGAAGGATCATGGCACCTTGGTAAATGGACTGAGCTGTGATCCAGAGGAGATTCCTGTATATCTGGTCATGTCAGTAAGTTGGGCCTTCCCAACCAAGGAAAGTATGTGTTGGGTTAAATCCTGTAGACTGCGTAGGTAGCAGTGGAAAACCAAAGTGTATCCATTAAGTTGGTACTCCAAAGAAAAAGGTTGGTCATCAGAAGTAAACTTTGTGTTTCCAATTCCAGTGTGTTTTAATTTTATGCTATTGATTGTGTGTGATGTTGTACTATAATAGGATTTTTTTAAAAAGTGTTTACTATTGCACTTCTCTTTGTTTTATTGCATAAAAAAGACACGGTTTCTCAATGCTCATATGGCTCTGCCATTTCAAATCCTACTACTTTTAGCTACTGGATGTAAATCTGTAGGCACTCATATTTCTGTTTCCCAAATAATTGTGTATGGCTTCCGCCAAATGTTTATCTGCAGCCAAAAGACAGCTTTATGTGTTTTTTTTTACAGCAAACAGCTGCTCACTTTGATTATTGGAGTGGCTCTGCATAAAAGACCTTGAGTGATTTCCTTGTGCACATTTAAAATGTTTTGGACTGTGGTTCTTTAAAATTCTTTTCCAACCTATTTGTCTGTTCAGTGTGTCTAAGCTTTTCATTTTCATAAAGGGAACCCAGTGTACTTTGGTGCCTTTTGTAGGATATGTTGTATGATTGCCATCTGGTGGCTACAGTGAAGCTTATCTGTCGTCTCTTAGACTGCAGGCATATTTTCCAATGTTGTCCTTTAAATTTATATGTTATTTGCTTCATTTTATACCTAGCTTTTCTCACCCCATTAGGAGAGAGTTAGAAGGTTTTCCTTATTGCATGAGATGTCCAGAATTTTAATAGGTGTGATTGTCTGCCTCAAAAAAAAGACAAATCAATTTATTTGTGGATTTCAGTTAATTGAAGTGACTCATTTCAGTACTTTGTTTCTAATTTCAAAAACACTCCCTAGATTCTGCATCACAACATCTTTTGCTGGATTTTGCCTGTAGACTGGTAGAATATGAATGGAGGACATATACACATGCTAAAGACCCCTCCCCTCAGCACCAGCTGCCGCTCTGGGCCAGAGTGAAGAGAGAGGGGGCCAGGGGACAGTTCCACCTTGTCTCCTGTGCTATTCTAATAATATAATATAATGTAATATAATATAATATAATATAATATAATATAATATAATATAATATAATATAATATAATATAATATAATATAATATAATATAATATATTGTGTATACATATAATATTTATAATATTATAATGTAATGCAATATAATAATAATAATATGATATTATAATTATATATTTATATTACATGTAATATTAGTAATAATATTACGATATGGTGGTATGGTGCAATATAGCAATGTTTAATGCTGATATTGTACTATCCTAATAATATAATATATTGTATGTCATATACATCTTGTAAGCCGCTCTGAGTCCCCTTCGGGGTGAGAAGGGCAGCATATAAATGTCGTAAATAAATAAATAAATAAATAAATAAGCTCCCCAGTGCTCTAGGAAGAGGCGATCCTGGGAATTTGTTTACATTTGTTATTTTGTGCCAGTTGGTAAAATTTTCCTTTATTTATCCAATCTATATCCCACAGGTCCACCAATAAATACAATGCATGCTACTCCCACCCCAGTTTAAGGATAGATATAGGACTGTAGAAGTCCAGTGTAAATGTTTCCCCAGGGCTGGTTTAATGCTGAATCTTACTTGAGTATCTTGGTGATTGCTACAGCTGGGCATTCTTAGCATTTCCCTGCACAGGCATTTCCTCTCTGCCTTTCTTATGGCCAGCTGGGATAGTTACAGTATGCAATGCCACAGGCGGACACCTTGACTATCAGCAGCATACATTTACGAATAGCTCTGTTAAAGGAGCCACTATTTTGTATTGTCTGAAAAATGCTACTCTTACACAATTTAATCAACTTGTGTTTCAGTGCCATTTTGACACTGTTATTGTATCAGAAGTCCTAACTTTGACCTCTTTGCTTCTAACTTTTGGAGCTAGAGCAATCTATATTTTAAAAATTCATGCTTTTAGCGTACATTTCAGTAATAGCAACATCATTTGCATATGGTAAACACTTAAGAAATGTTCTGTTCCCAAATATTCTTTAGATTATAATAGAAATGGGTTTACTTCTTGCCTTGTATGCAGTATACTTGTTAGGTTCCAAAGCTAACAAAAGAGACAATCAATCCTTGCATTTGTGGATGCCTACTCCCAAGACCAGAAAAGTTTGATTCTCCCACCCCTTGCATGCTGGCGTTATATAGATCCCTTGGTACACTTTGGTACTGAGTACCAGATACATTGTGACTCCTTTTTGGTTCTGCTAAAAACCTCAGTGGCTGTCAAACACTGCTCCAAAGGGGTTTCCCGGTTGTTTAGGATGCATTTCTAGGTTATATGGGGATTTGGAGGAACAAAGCAGGGAGGTGCGTCTGGCAGAAGCAGCAGAATCCAGCTAGCAATGTATAATTTATTTGTGAATTGTATGGTTTGCTGTTGGGGTCCTACTTACTGTTGGGGTCCTACTTAGTTCCTTAAACTGAGTCTTTCTCATTGTGGTATGAGAAGGAATGGTTCTGATTCTTTTTGAAGTCTCACCTACTGTGATGAAAGCTAAAACAACTGTTTTTTCTAAAGGTCTGGAATTAACATTCTTCTCTGGAGTATACGGAACCTGCATAGGTGCTGTAAATAAATTTGGTAATGAAGAAAAAAGCCTCATTGGACTCTCTGGTATTTTTATTGGTGTTGGAGAAATATTAGGTGAGTTCAGACTGGATCTGAAATTGCAAATATCTATATATTTTCCTACACAGTTTTTTTTTTTGGCGTGCATTTGAAATACCACAGCAAAGGAAATTGGACTTGCTCAGAATTGTAAGGCATGACATAACATGTTGATATGAAAGATTGAATAGAAATATTCAGTAAATGCAGTGAATATTAATTCTTAAATAAGAGCTGGGACACAATCCAGCAAGTGTATATTTAATGATACTAGAGTTTTAGTAGCAAACAGTGTTTGTGCTCATTATAGAGCATGCAAGCTGGGCCTTAGGAAGCGTCTTACAGTCAAGGCTAGCAACTGATCAGAACAAAAAGCAGATTGTCTTCCTGGTTGCTGGAGGTAGAGCATATTGCAACTAGAACTTGTTCTCACAAACAACAGATGAGGTGGTGAACTTGTGTTTTGTCTGCACCAATTTAGACTACAGGTGAGGGCTCACATACTGCATGGCATTCTATTTAACCAAGGCGAAACTCACTCACTGCAATTATATTTTTTCTCTGACAGGAGGAGGACTCTTTGGTCTCTTGAGCAAGAGCAACAGATTTGGTAGGAACCCAGTAGTGATGTTGGGCATTGTGGTTCATTTCATAGCCTTCTATCTGATTTTCTACAACATCCCAAATGATGCCCCCATTGCATCCATGAATGGGACTGACAGTATAGCATACATGGAACCAAGGTATACATTATTTTTTTCCTGCTCCTCTTTATTAAGGACATTAGTGTTTACAGATGGACACAAGCCTGATTTGCAAGTGTTTGAGTGGAATCCATCCATTAGCATGTGAGTAACTAAACAAAGTCAATAGTGAGGGCATCTGCCTAGAAGTAGCCAGACCTTTGTTCCCTTTGAATTGTTTATTGCCTGGAGACATCCTTTGTCTGGGTGGTGTTCACTATCCCTTAATTGGTTACTGCCTGGAGGCCTCCTGTTTCTGGGGGGTGTTCATTAGTTACTGTCTTGATTCTTGATTCTCAATTCTGGTAGCCAATTTTTGTTTGTTTTCATGATTTCTTCCTTTCTGTTGAATTTGTCCAAGTGCCTGTAGATTTCAATGGCTTTCTCTGTATAGTCTGATAAAGTGGTTGTCAAAGTGGTCCATAATTTCTGTGTTCTCAAATAATATTATGTGCCCAATGTGGTTTATCATGTGTTCTGCTGTTGCTGTTTTGTTTTGTTTTTTGGATAAAGTAGTCTGCAGTGCCTTTCATGTTCTTTGATTTGTGTATGGACACTGTTTGGTGGTCCATATGTAGACTTATCCACAGCCGCACAGTATGTAGTAGACTCCTGAAGTAGTTAGAGAATCCTTCTTATCTTTTGCTGAAAGTTGCATTTGTTGAAGTTTCTTAGTGTATCTGTAGAAAGTTTGTAAGTTATGTTTCTTCATGAGTTTTCCTATGTGGTGTTTCCTTTGTTGTATGGTAGGAACACCTTCCCTCTAGGTCAATGGTTCCCTAGCTTTTTTGGACCAGGAGCCACTTTGACCAGGGACCACTTGACCATGGACCACTCTACAACATTAGTACCGAAAGGGTTACGAATCAGTTTTTGGTCAACTTTAGATTTGGTTTGGTTATTTGGGGTGCTTATTCAGAAAATTGCATTGGATTGACCACATCAGCTCTAGTTTCTGATACAGAACATATGCCATCCAGTAGTTGCCATCTGCTTGCCCACCATATTTAATAATCTAGAGCTGCGGACCTTATCTGAAGCCCAAAGGTTGGGAAGCACTGCTCTAGGTGGCTCTTGTTCCTGTGGACTGTTCTTGGTCTTGTAGCTCTTCTGATGTCTGTAGTAGGGAAACCATTATCTTGCAGAGCCCAGTTTAGGTTCAATTTATATTGAAGGAGGTGAGGTTCACAGATTCTGTTCGCGCAATCTACCAAAATTTTAAATTGTGCTACTTTTTTGTTCTGGATGATTATTTCAGTTTTTATGTAGATATCTATCAATGTGTGTAGGTTTCCTTTATACTGTGTAACTCAATTGCTGGTTTGGTTTGCGGATGACTAAGACATCTAGAAATGGTAGTTTTCCTTTGTTTTATTTTTCTATAGTAAATTGAACGTTTGGATGGATATTGTTGATATGGTCCAGAAACTTGTTTAGTTAGGGTTCTTTCTCCTACCCTGGACACTTCACAGGCATATATACTCCCTGGGCTTTATCACCATCAAATCCTCTGAAGATGCCAGCCATAGATGCAAGCAAAACATCTGAAGAAAATGCTGCTAGAACATGGCCATACAGCCTGTAAACCACATAACACCCCACTATTTCATTCTCATCTGTTTCTTTCCTATTGGGAAGGACCCCCTTTTTTGAGAGAGAGAGATGTGATATTGCTACTCTGAAAATCTCAAAAGACATTGCCTTTCCTTTTACCATGTATGAAGGCAACTTGTAAATAATGGCATTGCAGGAGAGTGCATTGTGGATTAATTAGCTTGTCTGTTTAATAGGTTCATTCTCCCACATGTAGTGGGATTGTAGAAAAATTCAGAACTATTATAGCAAAATAAGAAATATAATGGAAGAAATAATAAGGAAAGTGAGATAAAGCTAGATTCATGTCTCTCACTAGAGGCAAAGGAAGATAACAATAATTGGGCAGAAATCCTAAAATATATGACAGCCGCAATACAGGCTATGATAGCCCAAGGATGGAGAGACAATACAAGATGGGATTTAGAAACTTGGTGGGCTAATCTATTGGAATATATAATCAATGATTTCATTAATCAAAGGAAAAACAAGTATATAAATAGTCATATAAAACAAAACTGGTACAGGAAATGGTCTATTCTAACTGACAGAATAGACGGAGATGATAGATATAGCATTTTGAACCAGGCTTTCCACACGGCTAAATTGATGCAATGACATCATTTAGGATTGTTGTTCCAGGAAGGGGAGGGCAATGGGGAGGAGGGTATGGGTAATGGGTGATACACATCTAAGGAATGTATAAAGTGTCATATAAGGTAAATTTATTTTTGGAATAATGTATACCGAGATAAGACGTGTATGGCAAAAGTTTGTCAAGTGATGGAATGTATCAACTAAAATAAAAAACAAAACAAAAGTAATAAACAGGCACCACTCTTAAAAAACGTTTCTGTTTAATATTATAAAATGCATAGTATATGTGAATATACAAACTTTGGGGTGGGGGAAAAATTTGGATTGGGGAAAAAGAGATTGTATCCAGTTACTGTATTATTTTGCTTAATTGATGTTTAGAACAGTGTTAATTGAATGATAATATTATGAATACTAATTAATATACAGAAATGCTCGCACATTTTCAAAAATCCTAGACTTTGAACGTTTCACCATTATTTCTCAGTTAGTCCTAACAAAAGTAATGGATTGTACTATATTCCAGTCCATGTATATGCATAACATTGCGTTCATTTCATTTTTCAGCAAAGAAGTTGCTGTTTTTTGCAGCTTTCTACTGGGCTTAGGTGATAGCTGTTTCAATACTCAGCTCCTCAGTATTTTGGGATTCTTGTACTCGGAAGACAGTGCACCTGCCTTTGCAATCTTTAAATTTATCCAGGTAATATCTTTTGTCAGTTGATGTAACCATACCCATATCTGCGTGTTTTAGTAGCCTACAGAAATAACACAGTACCTTTTTAGTTACAGATACACAAATAAATTGTAACATTAAAAGAATTACAGCCATCTAATTCTTGTTGGAAACCAGGAGCCCACTCACACTGCCAGTTGTATGTAGTGCTGTTGTTCCACTTTGAATCTTTCCATACAACCCTATATCCCAGAATATCAAGGCAGAAAATCCCACAATAATTGGTTTAAAACTGGGTTATCTGTGTTCACACTGCCATATATTCCAGTTCAAAGAAGATAATGTGGGATTTTCTGCTTGATATCCTGGGATGTAGGGTTGTGTGGAAGGCCCTCAAACTGCCAGGATTATGTCCCATGAGATCTTGGAATTTGAGGTCTGTTGGGCCACTAGAGCTCTTTGACTGAGGATTTCTTCTGCTGTTTCTTAAACTGCAAGTTCCAGGATTCTGTAGAACAGAATGATAGTAGATAAAGCTACCAGTATAATTGCATAGTGTGAATGGGCCCCAGGTAAGGGTAAAAGAAAATAATAATGTTTAAGACTTTGTTTATGCAGAATGCTTGGGTAGTCAACATTCAGATGTAGGTGCAGTGTTCCATTGTATTTTTCCTGAGAAGAAACCATAAGGCAGATGGTGAAAATACCGCCTGACTTTACATGCACATGTTTGTGCTGTTCTGATTTCTGTAATATAAATCAGTGGTTAATATATACATAATGGAAATTTGGTGTATTCTTAGCAAAAGTGGGAATGCGTGTATTTTTGGGCTTCAAACAATATTGGTTGTTATATTACAGTATGAGAAATGCTGTACATATCTACTGAGGGGAAGACACACTGACTCCAGTGTGTCTGATCCTCAGCTAAATAGGTGTAGCAGGATTGATTGTCTTTTACCAGTTAAATAATACTACTAATGCCAGAAATAGAAGCATTGTATTTGTCAAGCACAGAATTTAAATAAATACCAGTTCAATGGACTAAAATACAATCAATTTAATGGAAAAAAACACCAGGCTGGTATTAAATGTACAAATAAAATTCTGTGTTGGTGCAGATTAACTGCATTGAACTGGATCATATGGCAGTGTAGACTAATATAATCCAGTTTAATGCAGTTAAACTGTATTCTGAAATGGCATTATTTGGCAGTGTTGACATAGCCCTGTTAGTCTAGATTAGTATGCAAAAGTGTCTTGTAAATAATATTTTCAAGCATCTTTGAGGATTAAAGGTGTTTAAAGATCCCTTGCATATAGGTGGGAGCATGTCTGCTACAAAACTAAGGTATTTGAATGAAAACATTTTATAGTTTAACAATATTTATTTGAGCTAACCTGGATAGGGCAAGATATGTACTCGAATTTAGGGGAAATAGGAATGCCCTTAAAATGTCACTGAGATAGAAAGGGGCTGCTGGCAAAGTTACATTCATGACTTTTCTGCTTTCTTTTCCAGTCCGTTTGTGCAGCCATCGCCTTCTTCTACAGTAACTATTTGTTCCTTCAGTGGCAGCTACTGATTATGGCGGTGGTTGGATTCTTTGGGACAATTTCATTCTTCACTGTGGAGTGGGAAGCCCCTGCGTTTGTTGCCAGAGGTTTAGATTACAGCAGCATTTGATGGACGCATTTTAATTTATTCACGTACACCTATCCTCCTGCACACACTTATGGTTCTTCAAAAGACTTGATGGCATTTTTACTTATGGAACATAAAAAACTGAACACCAAAGTTTCAAAAGACTTTTCCCTCCCTCTTTTCAACTTGTGATGAGTAAATCATATATTACAGCTTTGAAAAAATTCTGGCTGCTGGAACATAAAGCATTCTTCTCATCTTCTCCAGTTACCCGACTGCCTGCTTATGAGGCCAGTTTCTCTAAGCTCCCTTTGCTCTTCACTTTTCAGTCATCTATCTGAAGCTTTGCAATCAATAGTCTTGCCACCATTTCTTGTGCATGTAAATCATTTTCCTCCTCCATAAGATGAAATGCATTGTAACCCAGATGTGTTTCAGGAAGAACAATTTACTTGGTAGACTGGAAAAATCCCTGAAAAAATGCTAGTAATCCATAAATGCTCTTTAAGGTTTTCCAGTTCCATTTTCTCAAACAACTAAATGGCTTATGTTTCAATGTGTAATCTCAGTTTTTTGAAATAAAAGGGAAACTCTCCATTTTGGGATGAGAACATGAGGGAAGTAAATCTATTTGCATAGGCAATTTTGCTAACTGAATGTGAAGCCTGCTCAGAGGCAAAAATGGTTTACGATCCTGAGCCCCTCATATGCTTCCCTGTTTGTTTGGAAAGTATGTAAATTGTATGTTCTCAGGATTGAGTTTTTAATCGTGTGCTGCTAAATAATTTGTTGGAAAACACTTCAAAACCTCTTAAAACTTTGCAAAAATGATCCTATGATATTCAAATATCTGGGAGAGTCGGTGAATACAGTGTGGTATCACACATATAGAATTTGTTCTTGGTGCATGGCTAGAAAATCACATAGAAATGAAAGAAAATGGCACATTGTATTTTAACCTAATTTCTTTTAGTTATTTTATTGGCACCAGGAGTTGAGAAACAAGGATTACTGTGTATTCCCAGTTTAGGCATTGCAGTATAAGAATTGTCAGGGACAAATGAGAGACAAGACAACAGAACATTAGGCCATTTTTAACATGCATTTCTTATATTACATATTATTGTGTACCTGTCTACTCAGAAAAAAATTACTGATTTTAGGGAGACTTAATTTCAGATAAACAAGTATAGGTTGCAGTCTAAGTGTAGGCAAATGTGAGAAAATCATGTGTGACAATTGTACATGGTGCTGTGTGCACAATATTCTTCCAGGGATAAGACATAAACCAATTACCATTGTCTGGTTCTTTCTAGTTATTTGCTTAGAATAACTTTGTCAATATTGATGAGATTATAATAGAAGTAACGAAACCGCCTGTTTTGAAGTGGTAATTTTGTGAGAGCATTGTTGAAAGAGTGGGGAACATCACTTCTCAAGCAGTATCTGAGGAAACTTTCCAGCACAAAAAAAGCCTGTTCCATGAGAGTGCCTTTTAAACTTATTTGGGAAATTTTATTTAGTATGTTAATATTTTTGAGATGATTATTTTTTTAAATGACTGTATCAAGACATTGATTTATACAGTATTATACAGAAGAAAAGTGGGTTACCAATTAGAATATTTTTACAAGAATCTCCCATTTTGCTGTGCGTTTTTCTGTTCTTAACCACACAGTCCTGTGCTTAGCAAGAAGTAGTGGTTGCAGTGACAATGACTACACTTTTCTTGAGAGTAAATTGCATGGAATCTACTTATGAATAAATATAAACAGAGCTGAACAAAACAATATTATATTTACCAGAATGGGTATACAGTTGTAATTTTAATCAAAATCAAAAAGTCTCAACAGAATCAAATATATGAGAAGGTGTGATCTATAAAGAACTTTAAACCAAATTCTTAACTCCTTACTCTTGTACCCTAACTTTGCTTTGTAAGCAAATTTGCAGAGGTTATGATGTTAGATCTACCACAAACAGTTAGTCATGTAATTGACTAAGATTCCTTCAGTTAAGGGATAGCTTAATTTCCCCTTTAAATCATGAAGTGGTAACAATGCCTGTTTGAGGTATTTTCACCCCCATAGTATACAAAAGGGGTGGAGATAAGACCCAGTTTGGGTCATCATTGCCTTAACTAAGGAATCCTTGGCTTCAGCTTGTGTATCCATGGAACTCAGAAATTGAGAGGTTGATGTCTGAACTTTCAGTGCAACAAATAATAGAAGTCGGCTAAAAGGAGTGAGATATTTACTCTTCCTTTGCTGCTTGTTAACATTTGTCTGTAGTTAGTCCTAGCATAATGTGAATGGGGCAAATACATCTCAAGCATCACTTTTTTGTTTGACGTTTAATGTCTAGTGTTGCAGAAGGGAATTTTACTGAAAATATTGATTTTAAGCTCAGTACAGGGACAAAATTACTTGATAAAAATAAAACAGCTCCTTACATTTTCAGAATGTTTATCATTCAGTGTGTATTTGCCCCAAAATATTATTGTTAGCAATAATTAGTGAAGGGAATTCCTTACTTGATCAATATGCGAAAAAGGAACTATCAAACAGTGCCAGATGCTTCTGGGCCAACATTTCAAGGCTATAATTTCCACCTGGCTGACCAGAATTGTAAATGGTGTTGGACAGGATTCATGCCAAGTGTTTTCTAGCCAACATGGCAGTTAGTATAGGCAGGTGTCATGCTGTTAGCTTATATGCAACAAGAACAGCTGAATCTGATTCTTAATGTTCTGTGCTACTTGGAGTACAACAGTTATAGCATCTCTATGTGGAGGCTGGGAATGAAGGGAATGAATAAATAGGATCTGTTTTCCTATTCATGAAGTAATGGATGGACTATCCAACTGCTCAAATAGATTTCCTTTGAAATAGTATCCTTTTCCAGCTGAGATTTTTTTTGAAAACTGTCCCAGACTGTCCCGGCAATCCCAGCCCTTAGGCAAGCAAAGCATCTCTAAATTTGGTAGCCATCTTCAAATGGACTTATTTGGTCCCATTATTGTATTTATGAAGTTGGGAGCTAATTTTATTTTCTGATCTTAAACGTAAGAGATGAAATATTGTTCGGAACAGTAGTCCTAGTTTCCAGACACAAAATACAAGTTGAAAGTATTGTTTGTCCAACTCACAATGGTAGTGATGGTAGTGGTTGCTGGGCATAAAAGAAAACCAAAAGAATAGAAAACTAACTGAGCAAAAATTTTAGAAAACAGTCCGTTCAATCAAAGCATAGGTATCTGAGGGAAAAGATAAAGTTGCCCACAATAAAAGTCTGAAACAGTTTTCAAAAAAAAAATCTCAGCTGGAAAAGGATACTGTTTCAAAGGAAATCTATTTGAGCAGTTGGATATTTTTTGGCATATGTTTTGAAGGGTATTTGCTGTCAAATGTTTATGAATTTATTCATGAAATCACTTTTCTGGCATTTCTTGTGTTATCATGGATTGTTTAAAAAACTTTTTGTTTGAAATTTAAAAAATGGCAATTGAACAAGCATTGAGAGTGTGAATTGTAGTCAATAAATACATTTTGCAAATGTGCTTAAGAGTTTGGGGGTTAAATGTATAAGATGATATGCAATAATGATTCCCATTAACTAGGATCAGCCTGTGCAAGTTGAGTATCTACTATCAAAGGTGCTTGAAAGACCAGAAGTGTTTAGAATTTTTTAAATTTTGCATATGCATACTTAATGAGATATCTTGGACATGAGATTCAAGTCTAAACATGAAACTCATATTTCATCTACTGCTTGAAAGTAATTTTATATATTAAAAAAAAATCTTTTGTGCATGAAACAAAGTTTGTTGCATCAAATCATCACTAAGTGAAGTTGTCATTATTTCATCCTACCATTGTGGATGATTTTGGAGTGTTTCTAATTTTGGAATTCTGGATAAGAAATGCTTTCACCTATACAGCAACTTGTAATGTGTGACACTATTGGAAAAACACAATTTTAGTATATTTCTCTCTAACCCAGTTTTCCTTGGTCTTGTATGTTCCAAATGCGTCTCTTATTTTTTGTTGTTGTTTATTTGTTCAGTCACTTCCAACTCTTTGTGACCTCATGGACAAGCCCACATCAGAGTTCCCTGTCGGCCGTCTCCACCCCCAGCTCCTTCAAGGTCAAGTCAGTCACTTCAAGGATACCTTGCCCTTGGTTGGCCCCTTTTCTTTTTTCCTTCCATTTTCCCGAGCATCATGTCTTCTCCAAGCTTTCCTGTCTTCTCATGATGTGGACAAAGTACTTCATCTTTGCCTCTACTATCCTTCCCTCCATTGAGCAGTCGGGCTTTATTTCCTGGAGTACAGACTGGTTTGATCTCCTTGCAGTCCAAGACATTCTCAGAAATTTCCTCCAACACCACAGTTCAAAAGGTGTCTATCTTCCTTCGCTCAGCCTTCCTTATGGGCCAGCTTTCACATCCATAGGTTACTACGGGAAATACCATTGCTTTAACTATGTGGATCTTCGTTGCCAGTATGAAGTCTCTACTCTTCATTATTTTATCGAGATAGGTCATTGCTCTCCTCCCTTATGCAAAACAACAAAATCAAGGTTTGCATTGGAATTTCTCTGTGTGTGGAGTGTTTTGTCAAGTTGTGTGTGATTGAATCTATGGATACAGAGGCCTGACTATGGATTTATGTTAAAGTTGTATGCATGTTTGTATTAGCAAAATACTCTCAAAGTGCCATTGGTATTTTGAATCCTGTCTGATGCAGTAAAATTGAAATTTGATTTTAAATTTTTGTGACTGTTTTAATAGGCTTTATGTTTATGTTTTATAATGTTTAATTTTGTTTTTTTTTTGGTTTTTTTGGTTTGGCAATTAAATGTTTTGTCCTATGTTGGAAACCGCCCTGAGTCCTCTTGGGGAGGTAGGGCAGTATATAAATAAATTATTATTATTATTATTATTATTATTATTATTATTATTATGCAAAAATTGCAGCATGGTAAATATTGCTCAAAGTAATAAAATCAATTTCATGTAGCAAAGCCAAGAAGAAAGGGAAAAACTTAATATAAAATCTGTGACCCATGCTATATGAATCATAAAGGTGTTAGCAGATTCTCTGAAATGTAAGCACAGAAAGTGAGAAATGAAACCTTTCTAGGCAGGGAAT